TATTATCTTGGGTATGGATCAGATTTCTCTACATCATTCTATCCTTGATTGTTATGTTAAGACTATGACCTTAGCAATGTCGGGTGTCCCGAGAGTTGAGTGGACGAGTGTTAGTGGTTCTTACCCTAGCAAGGTTATAACCTTCATTATAGCTCAAAAACTGATTGATAGAGGGTGTTTATCCTACTTGGCTTTCATTTGGGATACTAGTATTGAGCCACCTCCCATGAATTCTGTTCCCATGAAGCGAGAGTTTACATATGTGTTTCCTACTAATCTTCCAGGTGTTCCTTCGGATAAGGCTATTGACTTGGAGCCGGCAACCAAGCCCATCTCTATTTCTCCTTATCGTATGGCTTAAGATGAGTTAAAGGAAATAAAGGATCAGGATTTATTGAGTAAGGGGTTTGTTCGCCCTAGTGTTTCTCCATAGGGTGCTCTTATGTTGTTTATGAGGAAGAATGATGGATCCATTAGGATGCGTATTGATTATCGACAACTGAACAAAGTGACAGTGAAGAACAAGTATCCTCTTCCTCATGTTGATGATTTGTTTGATCAGTTTTAGGGTGCATCTCTATTTTCTAAGATTGATTTGAGATCCGGTTATCATCAGCTGAAGATTAGGGCATTGGATATCCCTAAGACAGCTTTCAGGACTCATTATGATCACTATGAGTTTCTTATGATGTCGTTCGGTTTGATTAACGTCCCTGCAATGTCCATGGAGTTGATAAAACAGGTGTTCCGACCTTATTTGGATACTTGTGTGATATTTTTCATTGATGACATTTGGTCTACTCCAAGACTGAGGGAGATCACGATCGGCATTTGAGGATTGTACTCCAAAGATTGAGGGAAGAGAAGTTGTATGCCAAGTTTTTGAAGTGCAAGTTTTGACTTGATTATGTGGCATTTTTGGGACATGTGGTCTCCAGGGAGGGTATTCAGGTCTATCCAGCCAAGATTGAGGCAGTGAGGGGTTGGACCAGACCTACATCGATTACTGTTATCTAAAGTTTTGTAGGACTTATAGTTTATTACCGATGATTTATGCAGAGCTTCTTTACTATTTGCATCTCCCTTGACTAGATTGACTCGTCAGAGTATTTTAGTGGTCTGATGAGTGTGAGGAGAGATTCAAAAGCTCAAGAACTTGTTGGCGTCGGCTCCTTTTTTACTTTACTCGGGAAGGGTGTGAATTTTACTGTTTATTACGATGTTTCTGGAGTCGGGTTAAGTGGTGTTCTAATGCAGAAGGGTAAGGTGATTGTCTATGCTCCTAGGCAGTTGAAGACCCATGAGAGAAACTATCTTACCCATGATTTAGAGTTGACAGCCGTAGTGTTTGTGCTTAAGCTATGGCGACTTTATTTGTACGGGGTGCACTGTGAGGTTTTCATGGACCATCAGAATCTTCAGTACATATTCAGTCAGAGAGATCTCAACTTGAGGTAACTCTAATGGCTTGAGCTACTGAAAGACTATGACATCACCATCTTCTATTATCCATGGAAGGACAATGTAGTGGTCGATGCTTTGAGTAGAAAGACTTCTAGCATGAGAAGTCCTGACGTTATTAGTGTGGAGAAGAGACCATTAGCTAGAGATGTTCAGAGGTTAGCCAACAGTCTCATTCGGTGGCGGGTTTCTGAGAATACGGGTGGTTTGATTGCTTTTATTAAGGCTTGTTGTTCCTTATTTGAGCAGATTTGTGAGTGTCAGTTTGATGACGATAAACTATGTCTCATCCGAGACAAGGTGGTGAGAGGGGAAGCCAAGGAGGCTATCCTTGATTCTGATGGTGTCTTGTGAATTGGAGGCAAGTTTGTGTGCCCAAGGTGGGCGAATTGACTAGACTGATTCTTGAGGAGGCCCATTGTTCCCTATATTCCATCTATTCGGGAGCGGCAAAGATGTATCATAACCTGAGCTAGCACTATTGGTGGTGTGGTATGAAGAGGGATATTGCAGATTTTGTTTTGAGGTATTTGACTTGTTAACCGGTCAAGTGTGAACACCAGCGGCCTGGAGGTATATCTTAGAGGATGTTTATTCCTACTTGGAAGTGGGAGTGGATTACTATGGACTTTGTTGTAGGAATACCACCACCGTAAGTGGTTATGACTCAATTTGGGTGGTTGTTGATAGGTTGACCAAGTCTGGCCATTTCATCCCAATTCGGGTGAAGTATACGGTAGAGAAGTTAGTTGAGCTTTATATCAATCAGATTGTGCGATTACACGGAGTCCCTATTTTCATTGTCTTTAACCGAGGTTCATTATTCACTTCCCATTTCTGAAAGGCATTGCAACATGGTTTGGGTACTTAGTTAGATATGAGTACAACCTTCCATCCCTAGACAGATGGTCAGTCCGAGTGGACAATTCAGGTATTGCAAGACATGCTCCGAGCTTGTGTGATTAATTTTAATACTAGGTGGGATCAGCATTTGCCCTTAGCAGAATTTTCCTACAACGACAATTACCATTCCAACATTCACATAATCACATTTGAGGCGTTATATGGTAGGCGGTGTAGATCTTCGATCGGATGGTTTGATTCAGCTGAAATGGATTCATTATATACAAACTTTCTTAGAGATGCTATGGAGCAGGTCCTTATGATCCAGGATAGACCGTTGACAACCTAGAGTTGACAAAATAGTTATGCGAATCAGAGAGTTCGAGCCTTGGTGTTCATGGAGGGTGATCATGTTTAGCTCTGAGTGACACATGAAGGGTGTGATGAGGTTCAAAAAGAAGGGAAAGTTTAGCCCTAGATTCATTGGACCCTTTGAGATTTTGAGCCGTGTGGGAGAGGTGGCATAGAAGTTGGCCTTGCCACCGAGTTTTTCAGTTGTGTATTCCGTGTTTCATGTCTCCATGCTTTGAAAGTACGTGTCGGATGAATCTCATGTACTTTCTCTTGATTCATTTGAGTTGGGTTCAGAATTATCTTTTGAGGAGGATCCTTTATCCATCTTGGATAGGCAGGTCCGGAAGCTTAAGACCAAGGATATCGCTTCAGTGAAGTTGCAGTGGAAGCATCGTTCAGTCGGTGAGACAACTTGGGAGATAGAGTCAAATATGTGTGCCAGATATCCTCAGTTTTTCGAAGGTTTAGGTACTTCCTTTTGCCTTATGTTTGAGGACGAACATGGTTTTTAGTGGTGGATAATGTAATGACTCAGTCGGTCATTTCTGGTTTTATGTGGAAATTACTATTTTGCCCCTCCCAATATCGGCCCCGAGTCGTTTTTGATTGAATTTTAGAAGTTGGTTTTGAACTTTGAGTTGAAAGTTGAGATTTTTCGTAAGTTTTTGAGTTTGAAAGGTTAAGTTGTTAAGAAAGTGATTTTTTGGTGTCTTTTTGGAGTTGGCTGGTTTTTATGTGTTCTGGTGCAATCCTCCTCGTTCGCGGAGGAAAGGGGTGAGAACCCCGCAGAATCACTGTGGCCGACATCTTCAAAGTCATTCGTTGCATCTTTCCCTGTTGCTGAAAGCAAAACTTCATCACCACCTGGATGATCTTCCATAAATGGAGTCACATCATACACCTTTAATTTCCACTGATAATAAGCCAACAATCTTTGGTCTTGTTGTGCTTTGCAACCTCCTCAAATACATGAACTTTCTGATCTGACCACATCTAAAAAGAGGTTTTTAGTGTCTTGGATTCTCCAAATCTATAAACAATTGTTCACTAATATATATTATTGTATTAAAAATATAGTAGTCATATATTCAATATGTGCATTGAAAAATATCTATAATATGTATAATGTATTGAATTCAAATGTATTACAATTGTAGTTTATATTTATTTATTTTATTAATGATGTCAATTTTTTGACTAAACTATTATTGTGGTCTCCTAGTTTATTCTGCCTAAAAATGAAACGTGTACAAAAACTCATAATTAATGCTACATATAGTAATCCTTTCATTCACTTTTAATTGTCATGATTTCCTTTTTTTGAGTCAAACTATAAGAATTTTGACTAACATTTTACTGTATATTTTTCTATCATATTGATATGCAAAAAATTGCAATTTATAGTACTTTTTGTATGGTTTTTGAGTATCTAATTTTTTTGTTTAAAATATCAAATTAATGTAATCTAATTTATTAATTATGTGCAGCAGAATCCTTCATTTTCCAAATGCATTAATTTTAACTAAACCATTACTGTTGTCGAAAAAAGAAAAACATAAATTTCAAGTTATTTCCTTTTGTGTTAATTTCAATCTTATATAGAAATATATTAATCAAAACTTTGAAAATTGAAATTCATATCATAATTAGTAATAACTATAAGTATATACATGAAAGTGGTAGCACACTTCATTAATGTGTTTGGTCAAATAGTCTTTGCTTTATTCATATTTTTACCAATATACATCGAATAATAATCATTTTATTTCTAATTATAAATAGTTCATGTATTATAATTTCTTAAATGAATCAACAAGTTATATATAAATGGCAATAAGTGGTCGTTAAAGGGTGTTTGGATTGACTTAAAAGTTAGTCAAACCTACTTTTAAATCAGTTTTTGACTTATGTAAGTATTTGACAAATATAAAAATAACTTAATAAAAGTAAAAAAAAAAAAAGACTTAAAATAAGTTAGTAAGTGTTTGGTCAGGCTAAAAATAACTTAAAATAAGATAAAAATCAAAAGTAGACACCCCTACTTTTTATTTTTTAACTTAAAATCATTTTAATTTGACTTTTTTATTTTTGACTTAAAAACTATTTTTTTAAGTCAATCCAAACGGGCTCGTAGTCAAACTTTTTTCTCAATGAATATCTGATTATATTAGGAATTGTCCTTGACTGAAGACCACTAAGGAATAATATTAAATTTTGGGTTAATTTATTCAACTATATATTTTTCCAAATATAGACAGTTTTTCTGTTTTTTCTCTTTTCCCTTCCCTATAAATTTCCAAAAAAAATCCAAAGTATTAAAAACTTCTCATTCCAATGGGGATTTGCTCTGGAAAATCTTCAAAACTTGATCATGCTTCTTCTAGCCTATTTTTTGGTACAATTCCCTTTGAACATAATTTGTATACAAAAGTTGAACATTATGATTTGTAAATGATATTTATATATTGTTGTGTGTCACTAGCCAAGGCTCTATGACTTTGGACTAATCGTGGAGCCAAAAATTTTACTAAGAGTTTCGAGAAAAATGCAATGATGTCACACCTAGATTTTGAACTTTTTTGAGTCACCTTTGTTGCTACACTAGAAACTTTAATTTATTGTTGTCAAAGTTTGCAATTATTAGCTTCTGCGCGCTCAGTCTCCTTGTTCTTTTTTCATTCTTTTGTGTTCTGTTTTGTATAGAAGTTTGTTGCTTTGGTTTATTGAGTTACAATATTTGTTTGGATTTTTTTAGACAATATACATAACTTGTTGTGCTAGAGAAGCTTAAGGGGAATGACATGAACAATAAGGATTCGTATAGTCGACCCTAACTTACTTGGCAATTTCTATTTCAGATTCTAATTCTGGCTCTTCAAGCAGTGTGAAAAAGGAACAGTTCCATTCTCATAAACACTCATTCCATAACAGATTTTGCTCAAATGATTCATTTGTTCCAAGCAACCTCAAGTCATTTACCTACAATGAACTGAAAAATGTAACTAGGAACTTTCGAGCTGATAGTCTTCTTGACGAAGGAGGTTTTGGTTACGTCTTCAAAGGATGGATAGATGAGAATACTTTTGCTCCTTGCAAACCAGGAAGTGGTATGGTTGTAGCTGTCAAGAAACTTAAGCCCAGAAGCTTCCAAGGGCATAGAGAATGGCTTGTATGTCGTAAACAACTTAAACTGTAACTGTCCAGGTCTAATTGCCAAGGTATTGTCCGCTTTGGACCTAACTTCAGGGCGTCATGGTTTTGTCCCTTCGGGATTTAACCTTGGAGATGCCCTCAAAGTTGAATTCCTGACTCCGCCTTTTATGATCACTAAACTTCCCCTCACATGTTGATGTGGGATTTGGCCAGAGTGGACAATACCTTGGCAGTTAACATCTCTTGCAGCACTTGTACTGTTGTGATTTAACTTTGTTTTCGACATAACCAAACATGCAGGCAGAGGTTAACTACTTAGGGCTGCTTTACCATGAAAATCTTGTGAGCTTCATTGGATATTGCGCGGAGCTTGATAACAGACTTCTTGTTTATGAAGTCATGTCAAAAGGAAGTTTGGAAAATCATTTATTTAAAAGTGAGTCATATCTCCTTACATTTGTTTTTGTATGCTTAGTTATAACGTTGACAATTAACGTCTTTCAATTGTTTTGTGAACAGAGGGAGTTCAGATTATACCTTGGGCTACACGAATGTGTATTGCAGTAGATGTTGCATGAGGCTTGTCTTTCTTACACGGTCTTGAAGCAAATGTTATTCACCGCGATCTCAAGGCTTCAAACATACTACTTGATTCAGTAAGCACTCCAAACCTGACTTAGTAATGATTAGCATTAGACAAGTAACTCTTAAGTCGCGTAAGTTTTTCATTGCACTTCTGCAGGATTTCAATGCCAAGCTATCGGCTTTTGGTCTGCCAAGAGATGGTCCTAGCGGAGGCAGAACTCATGTCTCGACCAGAGTTATTGGTACTACCGGTTATGCTGCACCAGAATATCTTGCATCAGGTTTCTAAATCAGTTGATAAGCATCATGTGTTACCTTAAAAACTATTTGTATTACCTTATAAGCGATTTGAACGTCAGTGCATAGAATTTAAACTCTTTGCTATTTGTGTATGCGACTAATGTGGTAAAGGCCTTTTTTCACTAAACTTTCCAATTCAACTTGTTCATAACAGGTCACTTCACACCACAGAATGATGTTTACAGTTTTGGAGTTGTTCTACTAGAGTTGCTATCCGGAAAACGATCAACGGGTGCTGAAAATGCAGGAGGTGCTGATGAGAAATTGGTGGAATGGGCAAAACCATTCCTAAGTGACAGAAGGAGAGTGGTGAGAATAATGGACACAAGGTTGGGAGGACAGTACTCAAAGAAAGGTGCACAAACTGCAGCTTCCCTTGTCTTGAGGTGCCTCGACGTTGATCCGAGACTTAGGCCAACCATGGATGAGGTTCTAGCAACACTAGAACTTGTACAAGCACCAAAATTTGTCATGAAGAGTACACAACAGATTAAACAAAGCAGATGACAAGTTAGTCTCAAGAGAAATGTCCATCATGTAAATAGTGTACGGTTCCAGAGGCAGAATCAGGATTTTTTGAATATGACTTAGTTTGAACGTCTAAATTAAATATCGTGACAATTTTTGAAAAGGCTTCCCTTTGGGGTAAACCCCTACAATTTTAAGTTCAAATTGTTGTAGTTGTGATGGTGATATATGGAAGTGTTGCAATTTGCTTGCTAAGCTTCACACTAAGAGTAACAACAATAATTATGCTGTATCATGTACAAAAACGAAAAAGTTTTTCAATTTGGTTTTAGTTGGCAAATGTGTCTTTAACTTGGATTTGACTGGTATCTATGGCAATGTGTCTTTTAACTTTAGCTTCAACTCATATTTATGGCAAACATGCACATCTTCATGCAAAACTTAGTTTCAATTCACATTTATGGCAAATAGTCTTATAACTTTAGCTTCAACTCACATTTATGACAAACACACATATCTCCGTGTCAAACTTAGCTTCAACTCACATTTATGGCAAATATACACATCTTATGTGACACGAGATAAATCATTTTTGAGTGTATTTCACAAGAATAATTGTCATAAATAAAGATGAGTGTCGAGACAAGACCCACAAATTCTCAAAACCCAATACTAATAACTCACAAAATTGGAGTCCTCCGAAAGCATGGAGGCCTCACTCAAAAGTGATCTCAACGGACTTTTGTAGAGGATCGTAAGTGCATGTATCTGCGTCATTAAAAGATGCAACATTGAATGTACGAGTACGTAATATAACCAAAGCGAAATAACTGAATGAAAGAACTGTAATAGATATAGCATAAACTCAACCAAATGTAAAGAATTTAATGAATGAAATCACTTAAACTTAACAAAAAATACTTACTCATCTCTGAAACTCAACATAATAAGTGATATAGTAAAAATACACCTTAACTCTATTTGGGAGATTCTCTAACCGACAACCATCACTATGAACTACATGATGATACATCGTCTCGCCCATGCTGTCAGAACTGTCATATACTGTGTCGGGGTATAGAACCTCTCAACCAAGTGGATCCACTAAGCAAAAAGGATAAATCTAAAAAGTATGATCTTTTAGCCATGTTGACAAACATGGTTTATGAAGATTTTGAGTTGTCTGAACTCATCTCATATCGGTGCTCAATACTACTCCCAAAATATATACTCATGCTCAAATGTATAAAATATACTCTTTCTATGTTTTGAGGTAATTACTCAAAATATCCTATTAAAAGATGTAACTGCTCTAAAATATCTCTGAACTCATACTTCATTTAGAAATCAAAGTTTCTCTTTTCTCAATGTAATTAAATGATACATTTGGGACTTCTTACTTCCCTTACACTCTCTCTCTAATCAATTTTCAAACTCTTTCTCAACATTTCTCTTTGCTTTCTCATAACTCAATTCAAAACCATTATGTTTGTTTAAAAGATTCTCAATAAGAACTCAATGAATACTAAGGGATAAGGTTCATGCTGTAAAATAGAAATGAACAATCAACTCAATAAATCTCAATGCATGATATACAACAATTCAATAATTAGGAATAAAAATTTAATAATCAGGAATTCAAGAACTCAGAACTCAACATCAATTCATCTCAAGATACTCAAATCTAAAGATAGAACCCTAGATTACTCTTTTACTGATTTGAAAGTAAATATGGGGCGTGAGGACGAACTAGTACAATACTATGATAGCCTTACATACCTGATTATGAAGCAATTAGACTGAAAACTTTTGTGGAGACTTGATTTTATCTTGAGCTTGAGGAAGAACATTGGTTTTTTGGAGGAAACATTGATTCTGGAATCTTGGTGCTTGCTCTCGATAAAGAAACTCTTTTATTAAGTTCTTTGAGTGGAGTATCTTGAATTTTTGACTTGAAGGTTTTAGGATTCTTGTTGGAGAAGAGGAACCCTAGGTGAGTTTTAAGAGAATTTCTAAATACTTGAATGTTTAGACTGATGATTTTGAGAGGAAAACTATTTAGTTGAATGATATATCAGTTAAAACACTTAAAAACGACTTAAAATAGGGTTAAAAAGCTTGGGAAAGAACCAAAATAACTCTATAGCGTCTGTAGCAAGCCTTCACGGAAGGGTCTACCATTCATCGAAATTTCTACCGTCCGTAGGTCTAGTTGTAGAACATCGACCATCTGACAGGGGCTTCACTAAAATAGGCATAACCTTTTACTCCAAACTCGAAATGAGGCAAACTTAGTGGCGTTGGAAAGAGGACTCGTATACCGTTAATTTGATAGGTTGTGGACCACCTAATTCATTATGACCTGAGTGATATAGTTGTTTGAAGTTGACCCAAGTAGAATCTTATGTCAAAACTTAATCGGTAAAGAAGTTTTCAACTCAACTTTGTGCTAGGGGTTTCTTGTGACCTTAATTCATCTCTGAATTTACTATCATAATAAAGAATTGACCTTAACACCTAAGTATAATTTAAGAATTACCTGACACGACCTTATACGTAAATGAAGAATAGTTTAGATCTTAACTTAAAAGTTTTCAGGGTGTAACATGTTTGGACTGAAAAAATAGGGAAACGGGAGCTTGGTGGTTGCGGGTGAACTGTATGGTGATTTATTTTGAGATTGACTTTAGCTACTGATAGTCTGATGGTGGTCTGGTGGTGGTGAATCATCGGATCAGAGAAGAAGAGGTGCATTTTCTAAAAGTTGTATTACAATTGTATTAAAAGTATGTTAAATATAGACAATAGTTATAATACAATTCAAATTTGATATTATACATTGTTAGGAATTCGATTGTTGTTTTTTCAACAATATAATACATTTCTAACAACATAAAATCAATTTAGATTGTACTGAAATATTTAAAATTCACACATATTATTTATAATACATTCGTATTAAAAATGTTTTAGTTATATATTTACCACGTGCATTAAAAGTGGACAAAAGTGGTATATTACTATCTTCGTCCACTTTTAATTGTCATAGTTTCCTTTTTTAGAGGCAATTATGTGGAGCAGAATCCTTCATTTTCCAAATGCATTTATTTTGACTAAACTATTACTGTTGTCGAAAAAATGAAAACATAAATTTCAAGTTATTTCCTTTTGTGTTAATTTCAATCTTACATAGAAATACATTAGTCAAAACTTTAAAAAAATGAAATTCATGTCATAATTAGTAATAATAATAATTATATATATGAAATAGTCTTTGCTTTAATATACATCAAAAAATAATCATTTTATTTCTAATTAATATAATTCATGTATTATAATTTATGAAATAAATCAACAAGTTATGTGTAAATGGCAATAAGTGGCCCTAGTGTTTTGATTGGCTTAAAAGTTGGTCAAACCTAATTTTAATTCAGTTTTTGACTTATGAAAGTGTTTGACAAATATAAAAATAACTTAAAATAAGTCAAAAAAATAACTCAAAAAAAGTTAGAAAGTGTTTGTCTAGGTTAAAAATAACTTAAAATAAGTTAAAAACCAAAAGTAGGTTTCCCCTATTTCTTTTTTTTGACTTAAAATTATTTCAGTATGACTTTTCTATTTTTGACTTAAAAGCTGTTTTTTTTAAGTCAATCCAAACATGCACCTAGTCAAACTTTTTTCTCAATGAGTATCTTATTATATTAGGAATTGGCCTTGACTGAAGACCACTTAGGAATACTATTAAATTTTGGATTAATTTATTCAACTACATATTTTTCCAAATATAGATATTTTTTCTGTTTTTTCTCTTATCCCTTCTCTATAAATTTCCAATTTTTTTCCAAAGTATTATAAACTTCTCATTACAATGGGGATTTGCTCTGGAAAATTTTCAAAACTTGATCATGCTTCTTCTAGCCTATTTTTTGGTACAATTCCCTTTTTTATTTCAAATTTATCCCTACATTTTTTTAATATAATTTGTTTACAAAAGTTGAACATTATGATTTGTAAATCATATTCATATATTGTTGTGTCATTACCCAAAGAACTATGATTTGAACTAATCATGGAGCTAGAAATTTTACTAGGAGTTTCGAGAAAAATGCAATAATGTCACACCTAGATTTTTGAACTTTTTTGAGTCACCTTTGTTGCTTCACTAGAAACTTTAATTTATTGTAGTTAAAGTTTGCAATTATTAGCTTCTGCATGAACGCCCTCAGTCTCCTTTATTCTTTTGTGTTTTGTTTTGTATATAAGTTTGTTGCTTTGGTATATTGAGTTACAATATTTGTAGAAATTTACAAGAAAATTGAAAATGTACATAACTTATTGTACTAGAGAAGCTTAAGTGGGGTGATATGAGCAGTAAGGATTCATATACTCGACCCTAACTTACTTGGCAATTTCTATTTCAGATTCTAATTCTGGCTCTTCAAGCAGTGTGAAAAAGGAACAGTTTCATTCTCATAAACACTCATTTCATAACAGTTTTTGCTCAAATGATTCATTTGTTCCAAGCAACCTCAAGTCATTTACCTACAATGAACTGAAAAATATAACTAGGAACTTTCGAGCTGATAGTCTTCTTGACGAAGGAGGTTTTGGTTACGTCTTCAAAGGATGGATAGATGAGATTACTTTTGCTCCTTGCAAACCAGGAAGTGGTATGGTTGTTGCTGTCAAGAAACTTAAGCCCGGAAGCTTCCAAGGGCATAGAGAATGGCTTGTATGTCGTAAACAACTTAAACTGTAACTGTCCAGGTCTAATTGCCAAGGTATTGTCCGCTTTGGACCTAACTTCAGGGCGTCATGGTTTTGTCCCTTCGGGATTTAACCTTGGAGATGCCCTCAAAGTTGAATTCCTGACTCCGCCTTTTATGATCACTAAACTTCCCCTCACATTTCGATGTGGACAATACCTTGGCAGTTAACATCTTTTGAAGCACTTGTACTATTGTGATTTAACTTTGTTTTCGACATAACCAAACCTGCAGGAAGAGGTTAACTACTTAGGGCTGCTTTACCATGAAAATCTTGTGAGCTTAATTGGATATTGCGCGGAGCTTGATAACAGACTTCTTGTTTATGAAGTCATGTCAAAAGGAAGTTTGGAAAATCATTTATTTAAAAGTGAGTCAAATGATCTCTTTACCTTTGTTTGTGTATGCTTATTCATAAGGTTGACGATTAACGTCTTTCAATTGTTTTGTGAACAGAGGGAGTTCAGATTATACCTTGGGCTACACGAATGTGTATTGCAGTACATGTTGCACGAGGCTTGTCTTTCTTACACGGTCTTGAAGCAAATGTTATTTACTGCGATCTCAACGCATCAAACATCCTACTTGATTCAGTAAGCACTCCAAACCTGACTTAGTAATGATTAGCATTAGACAAGTAACTCTTAAGTCGCGTAAGTTTTTCATTGCACTTCTGCAGGATTTCAATGCCAAGCTATCGGCTTTTGGTCTGGCAAGAGATGGTCCTAGTGGAGGCAGAACTCATTTCTCGACCAGAGTTGTTGGTACTACTGGTTATGCTGCACCAGAATATCTTGCATCAGGTTTCTAAATCAGTTGATAAGCATCATGTGTTGCCTTAAAAACTATTTGTATTACCTTATAAGTGATTTGAACGTCAGTGCGTAGAATTTAAACTCTTTGATATTTTTGCACGTGACTAACGTGGTAAAGGCCTTTTTTCCCTAAACTTTCCAATTCAACTTGTTCATAACAGGTCACTTCACACCAAAGACTGATGTTTACAGCTTTGGAGTTGTTCTACTAGAGTTGCTATCCGGAAAACGATCAACGGGTGCTGAAAATGCAGGAGGTGCTGATGAGAAATTGGTGGAATGGGCAAAACCATTCATAAGTGATAGTAGGAGAGTGTTGAGAATAATGGACACAAGGTTGGGAGGACAGTACTCAAAGAAAGGTGCACAAGCTGCAGCTTCCCTTGTCCTGAGGTGCCTCGACGTCGATCCGAAACTTAGGCCAACCATGGATGAGGTTCTAGCTACACTAGAACTTGTACAAGCACCAAAAGATGTCATGAAGAGCTCACAACAGATCAAACAAAGCAGATGACAAGTTAGTCTCAAGAGAAATGTCCATCATGTAAATAGTAATAGACAAAGGTGCACGGTCTCCCAGAGGCGGAATTAGGATTTTCATCAAGGAGAGTCGAAATATAAAGAAGAGTCCAAGGCAATTCTATAGCAAGTACCTTTAGAGAAATGCCCAAGAATGTTCAAAATTAGCCAAAAGTGTAGCGGAATTTTTGAAAGAGTGGCATTAATTACTATGCTTCTATATACTAAAGAAAGATTTATTCCTATTCATGAAAAAAAAATTCACGATGATATTGTTTTAATATGCAAAATATATACTATTTTATCATGTGAGTCAACATTGGTTGGTCACATTTGAATCGAAAATGTCTAATTAAAACACTTTATTACTAGTTGAAATGTCCAACTGAAACATAACTTAGTTCAAATATATAAATGAAACATCATGACAAGTTTAAGTGACTGACTATGTCCAAAAAAAGTAACGAAATCAAATTCGAGAAATGACATTCTACAATAATTATTTCCTCCCCCACCCTCCAACACATTCCAACCCCATCCCAACGCCATAACTCCCATTCCCACAACCCTAACACCCCTACCCCCAACTTCATGTTACTTACATACCAAATACAAGAAAAATCATTTATTTTCCTGGAAAACATTTTCTTTCGTATCAAACACACCTTTTATATTAATCCATAAGTTGGAAGGCAAAGAATTTAAATGTTGGCAATTGAAAAAGGATACTATAGTTGTCCCATATCGATATTGCATAAGAAACTGGGTGAAGCATAGGGCTATATAACCCAAGGCTACTACAAGGTTTAAATTATCTTTGCGCTTGGGGCAATGACGCAGCTAGTGAGGTTCTAACCGAGGCGCGTCTATTGCTGGTTGAAAACTATTTCCAAACCCCCTCATCGGCCTTGGCTTCTGCCATGGCCGTTGAGAATTTTTGGAAGGGCTTCCCTTTGGGGTAAAGCCCTACAATTCAAGTTCAAATTGTTATAATATGTGTATATATATGATATTCGTCTTTTAATTTGGTTATAGTTGATGGCATTTATGTAATCATTAGGTTGGTTTTAGTTTTAGTTGATATCTAGAGTCATGTTGACATCTAAAGTTGAATAAATACACACTTGTCTAATTTGAATACACTTGTTCTATATGGCAATTCAAACACTCGTCCAACATGGCATGGCAATTCAATGAGATATAGTTGAATTGCATTTGAATACACTTGGCAATTCACTCGTCTAACATGACAATTCATGTGAGATATAGTTAAATTGACTTGTAATTTACGTGAGATATGAATTGATTTTTGTATTAGGTCGGATATGTGTTTATTTGTTTAATTTTAATAGTATCTTGTAAATTCAAAGTTGGAGGGAATAGATGTAAGGCGTGTCTACTGCACATTCAAAGCTGAAGGGCATAGATGTGTTAAGTTGAGACCAAGTTGCGCACGTTTCAAGTATCAAAGGACATAAATATCAAGTTAAGATGAAATTAAATGACGCGCTTATGTATTATATGCTTATTTGCAAGTGTTACATTTTTGCTGCAAAGTTCACACTAATATTAACAACAATAATTATGTTCATTCCCCTAAAAAAATTCTGAGTTAAATTCCATAAAAAGTCTAATATTTGTCCTTAACAAGTAATAATATCACTTATAGGGTTCTCTTTTGTATCCTATATTTTCAGCTAAATCTGCATCAATAACAAAGACTTAATAAATTCTCTAAACAACTTCCTTTTATGTGATTTTAGGTCTATCGATCTCAAGCGATCTTCTTATAATTTATCCATAATGTGTGTTGTTGAATGTAGTCATTATTAATCTGATATGACCATACATTCATTCTACCATTCGCGTCTCTTTATTACTCATGTTATAGATATATTGGACTTTAACAACTCAACGTTCACCATCATATAATATTAATGCAAAGCCTCATAGTGCACATTATCAGGCTTTCGCAAAAAAAAAGAAGATAAAAATACTGCATACAACAGGCCTAATGTGGTTTGACCCTTCTTAGGATCCCGTGCATAGCAATACTTAGTGCATCGAGCTACCCTTTTTCTTTTTGTATAATCAAGAGAGTAGAAATGAAATAATGGTTTTTCAAAGAGAAAAAAGGAAATCTGAAAAATCCAATTTACTGTATACAATTGCAATCACAATTTTTCCAAAATGTGATACAAATCATACAAAATTTTAATTGAAACAAATTCTACTGTTTGTCTAATAAAACACCTACCCCTAATAAAACAATTGGTAAAATCTTTAAAATATGGTCCCAAATTTTTTTTTTAAAATATGGAAAAAAACAATAAGAAATTGTTCTTCATTTCTTTTCTTCCATGTCCTGTTCAGTTTTCCATACAACATTATCTAGGCAGGTTGAAAGATTCTTGTAGAACTGCATAAAAACAAAAAAATGGTTAAAAGACGATAGCGAAGGGTCGGAGGTATGCTACGAAGAAATTTAACTAATACATTAATCAATAACTACGTCTTAATTCTAAGTAAGTTGAGATCGGTTATATGAATACACTATATGTATCATAGGATTCATCATATCGAAACTACTTTTAAGTTGACCTTCAACCTACTACACAGCGATGACCTTAAACCGGATGTGGATGTGAGATCCCTACCGGATTTGGTCAACTTAACTTGGATGTTTTGACTACATCTATAACCAAGAATCCGATTTCAAGATCCACATCCGTACACGAGTCCAAGCAACAAAATTCATAACTGTGGTAAAACTTTACATCAGGCCAATCTCCTGGGGTTGCTTGTGATTATACGAGTCAAAACACCTATTAACACCTACAAGTAGTCGTAAAGATGATAATACTACATGTACCTTGTGGAATTCCAAAGTGTCTCCTTTTGACTTCCGCACCTCGACCATATGAAGAGAAGGAGCAACTTGAAACACCTGAATTGAAGATCGAAACAATGTTCAGAATAAAACAACAAAACATTTCAAAAGATCAACGCGGATGCACATTTAAATACCTCAGTTGAAACATTAAGGTTCCCTTTTCTACCGGCTTTCAGATTCTGGAGCCTCATCTGAGGGGACACATCGAACATAAGAACAGTTAAGCATTTCATTTCCGTTATAATCGATCACTATCTCATATAGATCATTAAACATATATAGAATGCATAAGTGAGAACTTCATCACCACCTTGTAGTTCTTTTTGTGAACGTCAAAACCAAGAGGCTTAGCAGCTTCTTCAATCTTACTGATTATCTCATTGGCCGGACATTTAGACGTGAACCTTGTTTCTCTCTTGAATCCCTGAGAAGAAACAGAATCAACACATTTTGTCAAACATACAAAGAACAAAATAATACGAGCATCATCAATGTTTCGTACAAAGTGGGAAATATTTAAAATAAAGACAATAATTTGTGACCTGTTCGTCGAAGAGATTGCCAAGGTTAAGCCCTTGTGACATAGAAATCAACTCGAATGCATTCATGGACGTTGGCTTCTCTTCTCTTTTCTCCGTTACGTGATATTCCTGTTTTAATGCCAAGAAATGAGTAGCATGTGAGATAAATTTCGTATTGCAAACACTTCTTTCCTCTATAATCGATAGATAAATTATCGCATTCAATATGTTCAGTATGCTCACTTCGGAGTCCCTGAAGACTGCTTCGACATCATCCAGGTTTGCATCTTCTATCTCATCGAAAACAGGTGGTCTATAATCTTTCTTAAACCATTCATCCTCCAAAATTTCAGGCACGGTAATACGCTGCATATAACATATATATCATGAATAAGAAGAAAGTAGAAAATATCGACGTATACTCACAATATCCAGTATACATACTGTCGTAGGATTCGGATCCAAGATGTGAGTAATCAACTTCATAGCACCAAAAGAGATCCAAGGTGGGAACGTAAATTCAGCAGCAGAGATCTGTATACCAGGACAAACATTGTGAAACTTAGCCAACAGATAAACACACAAAGATTGAACGGTACGAAATGATGAAGAAAAATACTCACTTTGTTATAGAGGTTCATAAGATTGGAGTCATCAAAAGGCAAGTAACCTGCAAGCAGTACAAAGAGTATGACTCCGCATGACCAGAGGTCTGCCGTTGCCCCATCGTATCCTCGGTCATTGAGTACCTAATAATAAAGGAGTTCAATTTTTCAGTCAAAGATTCAATTGATGTTTCTTTAACCTTTCGAAGGCGTGGAGTAAATTTTGGATTTGTTCGGTTTTTTATTTTGGAAATCCTACTAAATCATCCACGTAAGGCTCACATATGTTACGCAATAGATCAGTGAAAATCTCTGTCATTGCCCTTTGATATGTCGAAACATGTTTTTGAGCATATTGTAGTAGGGAAAGAAAGTGAGGTTACTCATTCGAATCAAATAGCTGAACTACTTATATAACTCCTATTTAAGCAGAAGCCTTGTAGCTCGTTTTAAAGTATTGGAGAGAGATCGAAAGAGACTGGACACTACTGAGCATCTGATTTCTAACTACGAGTTCATTTTAAAGCTAACGGAATGCCTATCTGCTAATTCTGTTCCAGAAAAACATAAAGAGAAAGTAAAGCAAAACCAGTTTGGTTTTACCTCAGGTGCAACATAGTTCGGAGTTCCGCAAGTGGTATGCAGTAAGCCATCAGCCTGGAAAATACAACTAAATATAAGAACTCAAAATAATACTGTCTCTCCTGCATTACTAAATTGATTAGCACAAAGTAGAGACGGAGTTGAGGATTTCATTTTCCGATGTTAAACGAGAAACGGTAAGTAGAGAAAATAGTTTACCCTGACTTGCTGGGATAGAGCACTCAATCCAAAATCAGAAACCTTAAGGTCACCCGAAGCATCCAACAGTAAATTTTCAGGCTGCACGAAAAAAAAAAAAGTTTAATTTCTATGCACCGAAAACAATGTGAAACTCTTTTACAACATCATGTCAGAGTTTTAATATGATAACCAA